TATAAAGTGACTTGATAATGTTTTACACAAAATTATACAGCTTGTCATGAAGATAAAATAGTTAATTTTATTTTTAATTTTATTGGACAAGTCCAGATGTTAATGCGGTAGATTCACTGCAGTGAGTGTCTCAAACTTATGATAGCGGTTTTCATTTTCCTCTGCGATACAGTGACTTGGATGTAACGCTGAAAATTTCATATTATGTAACTTTTCAGAGCGGTTGCCAGGGAAGTTTAACGAAACTCTCCGTTGAAGGAAGTTCAAAACGACATTTATGACGGAGTAGCGTTATCGGTATACTTCCTTTGAATATAGATTTACAACGTTATTTTAAAGTTTGAGGAAACTGAATGTTTTAGTTTTAGACAACTTTATATAAGTAGTTATTCCTAAAATATCTATAACGTGTACTTATTGAGTTCATCTTATATTAGAAATGTGAATGTTTGTGAGTGAGTTTGTGTTTATGTTTGTTACTTAATCACATCAAAATGGCTGATCGGAATGCAATTTGGAATAGTGGTATATTGTGTTCTGGAATAACAAATGAGCCACTTTTCATCCCACAGCACAGCAACGCGAGCGAAGCCGCTGGTAGAAACTTTACAGTACCTAATAAATAATAGAACAAAACAATAATATCTATACATACAGATTATCCATCTGAAGGATAAATTTTTAAGCAATCCAAAATACATATATGCAAGTACCTATAATATACAAATCCACGTTCAGGATGATTAAGAAAATACCATAGTCATAAAGCGAGTAGGTACGAACCTGAAATCCGAGCTGAGAGTGCCTCTGAGAATAGAATTCCACAAATGTTGATTGCTTCATTAATGTCTTTGTTCGTCTCAAGCACAAAGATCTCAAGGCAGAGGTGTCAGTATAACTTGAGCTCCAATTTATGAAACTACTCATCGTGCTATATATTATTCTACAAGTCGAGTAGGTACAATAATTGAAACGTCAAAGCAAGACAACCACTCTATTATGTAATACTTCACGATAAGTAGATACTTATCTCTTTTACTTGAAAACTTTTAATTGCCTTTCTTTCATTGAATGTTCTTATTCCAGCTGTTTTCTAAAGAAAGAAAATATGTACTATACTAACTTAGTAGATTTATACAACAAACTGTCTAAGTACGACTCGTAGACAAAGTTATGTACGACGATAAACATGTTTTGTATATATGTACCTCTACTATCTATTAGAATTAAGAACATAAATCCCTGTAACAGACAGGTTGACAACATAATCTTTTAATGCTTAGTAACATTTTTCTGATACCCTTTGTATAAATCGCTTTGAATCATATTCTGCGGTTGTTTTTTTTAATGCCTACGTGTAACGCCCACAGATAATAGTAATGTTTTCGAAATAACAATGATAATTTGAAAATGATGCGACATGTACTTTTTGCCTACGTTAACATATGTTTTTTTTCAAAATTTCATCTTTCAATATAACTACGTATGAACAATGTTTTACATGTATGTACTATACTTCAAACTTTGGCACATACCAAAGATACGCAACCATTTAACTTTTGAACGATTTAACAGATACCTTATTGAAAGTACCTAAATGGCGCTAGGTTCAAAATTCTTGAGATACCAAAGTTTTTGATAAATATTAATGGAATAAATTATACCATCCAATTCGATTATAAACTATAGCTTAAAATTAATTGATTTTCTGTCCTAGAACGCCCAAGGTTCAACTTGCAATTATTTCTGAAGTATTCTACGAAGAAAGGAATTGTTATTGGAGCTATAAAAATATTCGTTAAATATCATTCTCTATTGGCAATTATTGCTCAAGGTAAAACTGACGAACTAATTTGTTTTGTTTATATTGAGTAGGTATAGGTACTATTACTATAATACCAATTTAGTATCTTATTGTATTCCTCACTACGGAGCCGCGGAGAACATAACGGCTTACCGAGGCTCCGGCTCGAAGTGCTGGAGTAGGAACGGGGTGGTTTTTAGTCAATAAGAGTCTGACACTCTCTCTCGCCTCACCCAGGCGGCCAATTGATTATTTTCCCCCCTTAAAAATTTGTATTCCTCACTAAATTAATATTAAAGGTAAAATTAAAGACTGTCTCGTTGGCCGAGTGGTCGCAAGTGCGACTGCTGGACAAGGGGTCTCGGGTTCAATTCCCGGGTCGGGCAAAGTATTACTGGGTTTTAAAAAAACCCTCAGTACTAACACTGAGTCTGGAATTGTGCCCGGTATATGGCAATAGGCACCCCCCTGTTACATGGGACTCATAACATAAATAGTGAAAAGCGTGGGTGTTACATTGTACAGTGGCATAATGTGCACCTCTGCCTACCACTTCGGGCATAAAAGTTGTGATTATGATAAATTATATTATGTAAAATTAAGGTTGAAATAAAATAATAAACACTGAAAAACGAACTGAAATTGATGTACAACTAGCTTATAATATGTTTTCTACATAACACTGCGATATGTCCGATGCAAAATAATACAAAACTCAACAATAAATTCTGGACTATTGCCAAATAAAATTATATTAGGTACATTCACAAAAGCCATTCGTAAAAATGTTCGACATTTCCCAGCGGCCGCGGGTTTTTATCAAATAATTTCTGTGACACACTACTTTTTTTTATACTATTACGATGCAGCGAAATGCTATCGACCCGTATATAAAAGTACTCATGTCTACCTACTCATAATTTAACCTAGATAAAACTGTTGAGAGCTGAGATAAATAAAACCGTGAATTTTATGACATGTAGTCTGTATACTTGAGGATTTATTGCTGCACTCAAGCCTTATTCAGATAAACTGTATAGCGTTTTAAGTGTTAAAAAAGAATAGGTACATAGACTTAAAATACTTGTCTTGTAATATGTATGCACAATGTAACCTAACTGCCGCGGAGAACCTAACAGGTTACCGGGACTCCGGCTCGAAGTGCATGAGTAGGAACCGGGTGGTTTTTAGTCAATAAGAGTCTGACACTCCCTCCCATCTCGCCCAGGCGGGAGAAAGAATTCGATGATTTTCCACCTTAAAAAAAAGTAACAGAGTACACGAATCCCTTGAATTTTCACACATTGTTTAATATAATATTTATTAGTTCAACCCCAAAACCGTCGTGAGGTCCCCTTTGAGACGCCTTTCACGGATTTCGGATTCAGCCCACGTCTTTGATATTAAAGGTCCCATATTCTGACGATGGAACCAAATTAAATGCGAGTTTCCCTACATAAAGCAGAATTGACGTTTAAATTCAACCAGTTTTATAGTCGTTTTCTCCCAGGTCTAATAAAATATGCACGCTCAGCCGCTATAAACTTTATGCAGTAAAACTTGAGTCTAGTGAATTTCGAAACATCTTCAAACTTATACCAATTGCTTTGACTTTTCTCTTTGCGAAATTCTTCTTGTTGTTTTTTTTTTCTTTTATGACAAATAGAATTTTTGTAAAAGGTGATTCAACTCAAGTTAGGTACTTTCCCCGAGAGAGAGAAGTCATTTTTAAAACAATTCGCCTTCTCTAAACTTAATTTACATAACATAACATAACATCCCGCCTTTTATCCCCGAAGGGGTAGGCAGAGGTGCACATTACGGCACTTAATGCCACTATAGAATGCAACACCCACTTTTCACTATTTATGTTACGAGTCTCATGTAATAGGGGGTGACCATATTGCCATATAGCGGGCATATTTCCAGACTCCGTGCTACTACTGAGAATTTAAAAAAACCCAGTAATACTTTGCCCGACCCGGTAATCGAACACCTTGCCCGACAGTAGCACTTGCGACCATTCGGCCAATGAGGCAGTCACTGACTGATGGTAAACTTAATCTCATCTAATATGTATGAAATAATTGAAGACCTGTCAATATAAAAACCTATTCTCTATTAAATTAATAATAAAGTCTTTTCAAAACAATGCAAGTAATTTGATACGATAGTTGACAAATTACAGTACTTCGCATTTTGCACACCATTTATCTTCGAAGCGAAGCCATCTGTTTCTAGACTCGCGATACTTTTGCCAGATGTTGTAGAAGCTAGTGATTGAAGACGAGGCAAGCAAGCTTAAGCGATTCCTAAGCGCATCGCTTAGAGAGCGCTTCACTAGAATAGAAAACTATAATGCAACGCTCATACGTGTTCCATTTTATATAAACGTTTTCTCTAAAGCGGATTTACGAGGTTACATTTTGTAGCTATGTCTTATAAACATTTTCTTTAAATTTTAGCAACTGTTAGATAAGAAAGGTTTACAAAATTGTGCACTGGTGTAAGTGAATGTTTATACTAACTACTTCCCCGCCCGGTTTCAACTACGGTTCGACTCCTATTAATCGTAGCGCAATATTTTAACAAATAGCCTTTCTTAATATGGACTATTCAATACAAAAATAATTATTCAGTTCGAACCAGTAGTTCTGGAGATCAGCGCGAAACAAGCTAACAAACTCTTCAGTTTTTTTTTATAAAAACGTTGCCCCACATTAGATTTTTCTCCTGTGTCGTGGGTGCGTTTACAAACATACAAGTTCACATACACAATGACACCCAGACCCGAAACAACAATTTTTGGATCACACAAAGTGTTGTTCCGTGCGGGAATTGAACCCGCGACACGTTGCACGGCAGCCGGTTGCCCAGCCACCGCATCAACCGTGCAATATTAATAGATAAGTGTACCTACACCTATAATTTACACGTTCGCGCTCTCACAGATTTTTGCTTCGAGCTCAATCGATCGCATGAAAAGGTCCTGTGTCGGTTTTCTTTGCTAAGTTGTCAGTTATTCAGGTCAGGATTTAATCCGTGTTTGATTAATGGCTAGGGGCCTGATTTACGAGAGGATCAACTTTACTGTCACTCGGATATTCAGGGCGTAAAAATGTCCTCCTTTTTGTGATATAGGTCTTTGTTCGTTGGAGTATAGGTGTTGGAATCAATTTGTTCTTTTCTGTTGCAGCTGCTCGACGGCGATGCTGTGCGCAGCCATCATGACAGAGCATTGGGAGCATGTGGTGTGGGAGCACGCCGCATTGGCTGCTCTCGCCAACGCTTCCAATACGGCCCTGCAGTGGCTACTTGACGAGAAAGTCGCAAAGGTTTGTCTTTTAATAATTTATTATCGTATTCAACACCGAAGCATTCTCATCAGTATTCTTTAGTTGTGTTTAAGAATGTTATAAAACTGCTGTACAAAAAGTTTTAACGCCTACATTGTATTGCAAAACAAAGTTACCATGCTCTCATCGTACGGCTACGAATCGTAGCACGTAGCGCGCTACGAGAAATACTTCGTAGCAACTTTCGTAGTACCGCTTTGTAGCCACGGAAGACTTCAAAATGTAATCTAAAATTCTGGACCAGTTTTCTGCGTATGAGGAAAATTGCAAGTATTTAAATAGAATGTCTGAATGTATAGGTATAGAACACGCCTAGCAACTTAGTGATCAATCAACTTAACCTAACCAATTTTAAGTAAATAAAGCAGACACTACAACATGATTCACGTGTACAGTCACCATCATAATGGAAACTTTGCATGACAAACGTATTTTACATGAACCGTCCTAACAATATCCAAGGTTAAAAAACTCGTAACAAGGAATTGGTAAAGTTTGGAATTGATATACTTAGGAGTTGATACACAATTCACATCAAGCTATGCAAAACCAGTATAAACTGATATTATACACCGTTGACTGTGTAGACAGATCATAAATCAAGACCATTACTTTTTTATGGAATAAGCTGGTAAACGAGCAGTCGGATGACCAGATGTAAGCAAATGCCACCATCCATGGACACCCGAAACACCAGTGGCGTTACAAGCGCGTTGGCAGCCCTTTGGGGGGTTAGGAATTTTAAAATTATTGCGGATTCGGGGATAGAGGAGATGGTAGTTGGGCTTTCTGGTAATCTCAGTCACATCACAAAACACAAAGCAAGCGTTGTTTCACATCGGTTTTCTGCGAAGCCGTGGTATCACTCCGGTCGAGCCGGCCCGTTCGTGCCGAAACATGGTTTTCCCAGACTTACATGATACACTGGTTTTGTATAGTTCGATGGGTAGCGGTGAGTATAAGTAAGTTGAGTTGCATTATTAATCGGGATTCTAGTTGGCAATGGCGGAACTTGCCGCCGCAGACGAGCAGGCGTGTCATGCCTCACATCACTGATGTTATTTCCCACGTGACAGACTTTGTAGTAATTGGAATTGTTTGTAGGTGTGCACGTAGGTATACCTCTGTCCAATGAATAGTAATGAAACTTTAATTTAAGAAACGAAACTTAATAAATATGTTTCTGAATTTTTTAGGTTTCATGTAATTTTCTGAATTTTTATGTTATACTAGCTACTTCCGTGCGATTTCACCCGCTCTGCTCGGCTTCTATTGATTGTAGTGCGATGTTTTATAGCCTTCCTCAATGATTGGAAAAAGAATTTTTCAAATCAGGCCAGTAGTTCCTGAGATTAGTGCGTTCAAACAAACTCTTTAGATCTATATATTAGACAATATTAGTATAAGATAATATTCTGATTATATTTTATATGTTTTGACAAATGTTGAGCTAAGATTTAATTCACAATGCGTGAAAGTATACAGGGTGAAACTAGCCACTTTCGGACCAGAGACCTCGGGGTTATTTTTTAAGGAAATTAGATATATTATCACCTCCCGAGAGGAATACGTCGAGTTACAAATCACCCTGTATAACGCCACAATCAACAGCCTATAAATGTCCACTGCTGAGCAAAGCCTCTTCTCACACGGAGAAGGTTTGAGCGTTAATCCACGCTTGCTCAATGCGGGTTGGCGATTACAAACTTATAATGAGAAATTATAAGCCCCGGTTTCCTCACAATGTTTTCCTTCACCATTTGTCAGTGGTGTCTAAATCTTGGAAAGTACGTATTACTCGGAAAAAGTCACATTGGTACCTGCCGTTGGTAGGTTTTGAACCCGCACCCTCATGCATGAGAAGCGAGAGTTTTAAACCTCCGGACCACCACGACATTTCCCATAACGCCACTAGCAATATAAAAAAAAACTAAAAGTCACGATTACACTTGGAAACTTATCTCAGACACATAACAATAGTAAATATATCAAAAACATTGACCTCATCAACAAAACCATTTAACTTGCATTAACTGTTGTAAGCTAAATGATAAAAAATTATATAAATTTTCTACTAAACCGCTCTACACCATTTGTATCTGACAGGTTACAGACTAGATTTTAATTGTAACTATTCGCTATCGACCTGCAGTTCATTAACTTAAGAACTGAGTCTCTATCTATACATACTATACAATACTGTTTTTGAAAGCAAACGTATTCGGTTTTTGTAGACAACTTTTTATTCGTATTTGAAAACGCAACCTTTATTTTGTTATGTTGGCAATAATTGTAATTTGTTAGGTTGGCAACATTTTTTTATTCTCTCTCCCGCGTTTTTTCTCTGATTGATTGTTGTATGTAAAAGTCTTGCTCAATAAAATAAAACTATATTTTTCTGTATTCTAAACAGTTTATTTTAATAATCCACCTCTTAAAATCAACATTTTTATTACGATGTTTTCATTAATTGTTGGTTGGAATTTTAATTGTGTTTCAAAGATAATGATCGTTGGTGTCAGCATAATTTTAATTTGTAAGTAACAATTAGTATTAATTGATATTTTGTGCTGTCTTCGTATTAATTAGTGTTACAGACTTTAATAAATTCTTTAGACATAGTTCACGAGACCGACGGCTCAGCGCCAAATATAATTAAGTATCATAAGTAATTATAGTTACTATTACTTTTGGGGACCCAAAATATAATACCTAAGCCTATTTTTATTTATTAACAGTACATTTTTATTAAACTTCTATTTCTTTAAAAAATAAATATTGTTGAAGAAAATATTATTAATATTTCAAGTCAATAACGAACTTATAAAATTATTGTTAAAAACAACGCATCATATAAATTTTAATGGTAAAATAATTTATAAATAACGCATCATATAAATTTAAAGGCAATTAAATTTAAAAAGAATAAAAACAGTGGTCATCGTTTTTAAATACATTCTATTGCATGTTAACTAGACAAAAGTGAACTTTAACGCAAGTAAAAACAAAGCACAAAAAAACTTACACCATAATATTTCGCAATAACCATTCCTGATATAAATATTTTAATTTAACTCTAGAAAGCCGAGTTTGCGTTAGTGAGACAGATCAAATTTAGGTCACGACAGCCAGATGTCTCGGTCGCAGATTTAATTTGTTTCGTTTCATATATCTTCGTCAGCGTTGGGATGTCTTCCTCACGGCTACCTTTTTCCTGTGCCATTTCAAATATCCATTTAGTTAAACCAGGCAGAATATAACAACAGTATTGTGCAAAACTATATTATCATATCTTAGTTATTGGTAACATAATATTATTGCGTTTATCTATATACATATAATAAAATGTTATATACATATAGAATTACTGGGTTTTTAAAAATCTAAGTAGTAGCACGGAGTCTGGAAATGTGCCCGGTATATGGCAATAGGCTCACCCCCAATGACATGGGACTCATAACATGAATAGTGAAAAGTGGGTGTTACATTGTACAGAATCATTAAGTGCCGTATGGTGCACCTCTGCCTACCCCTTCGGTGATAAAAAGGCGTGATGTTATCATATCATACAATAAAATCGTAGGAAAGTGAAATCTGAACATCGAATATTTTTTAAAAGAATGCTTGGGGCGTAATCTGCAATCGATACCGAAACCAAAAATATGTTTTTTAGAATTTTAGTCTGTGTGTCTGTTTGTCTGTATGTATGTCCGGGATGAACTCAAAAAGTGCTGCATGGATTTACTTCAAATTTTGAATGAATATTACTAACAGATTATGTCAACATATAGGCTACATATTATCATGTTATCAACTACGGGGGAGGAGCTGTGACTATTCCACACGGACAAAGTCGCGGGCTCGGCTAGTAAAATATAATATAATATTTCGTGTGTATGTTTGTTACTGACTGCCTCGTTGGCCGAGTGGTCGCAAATGCGACTGCCGGGCAAGGGGTCTCGGGTTCGATTCCCGGGTCGGGCAAAGTATTACTGGGTGAATTGTGCCCGGTATATGGCAATAGGCTCACCCCCTATTACATGGGACTCATAACATGAATAGTGAAAAGTGGGTGTTACATTGTACAGTGGCATAATGTGCACCTCTGCCTACCCCTTCGGGGATAAAAGGCGTGATGTTATGTATGTATGTATGTATGTTTGTTACTCAACCACGTCAAAACGGCTGAAGGGATCAGGATGAAATTTAGTACAAATGTAGATTATGGTCCAGAATAACATATAGGTTACTAGCAAACCCAGCGAACTCCGCTTCGCCACCAGTTGGCTATTCCTGAATTTTCTTTGCTATAAACCTCACGGAGCCAGAGACCTTTCCAACGAATGCAAAACTGTAGAAATAGGTTCGTGCGTTCTGGAGTTTATTTATTTATTTATTTATTTATTTATTACAGTCACAACGGTTGAGAACAAAAACCAATTAAAGTAACTGGAGTTATAGCGTCAGGAAGGAAAAGCCGACTTATTTTTATATAACTAGTAGATTATTTATTTTACGGGAACGCAGGTAAAGCCGCTAGCAGAAGCTAGTCGTTTATATTAGGTAAACATGACCTTTCCAACTTCCAAGAAAATTGTCTACCTCTTAAGAGATCAGGTTTCATAATCAAAACTTACAAGGCACAATTAAGCATTAACATTCTATTTATAAATGAACTCCACATTACCTTCAGTAAATGTAATACCATAACATAACATCACGCCTTTTACCCCCAAAGGGGTAGGCAGAGAAGCATATTACGCCACTTAATGCCACTGTATACTGTAACACCCACTTTTTACTATTTGTGTTATGAGTCCCATGTAATAGGGGGTGAGCCTATTGCCATATACCGGGCACAATTCCAGACTCCGTGCTATTACTGAGATTTATTTAAAAAACTCAACAATGCTTTGCCCGATACGGGAATCGAACCCGAGACCTATTGCCCGGCAGTCGTACTTGCGACCACTTGGCCA